CTGCAGTGACCTCCCCCTCCCTTTGTACCATTAATTTAAAGTTCCTTGTCTTGTGGCTTTAATTTTTGCACAAAAATCTTGCTCTGGATCCATTGAGTGTCCTGGTACAGTCTGTGCCACCAGCCTTGTGGTAGCTTTTGTAACACAGTACAGCAAGGATATACTTTTTTTAAAAAGAAAGTCAAACAGCCAAAGCAACTTCTAAAAATCCAGTGTTTACAAGTCCCTTGTGTCAAATATGGCAGAAGTCCTTCTCAGCAGGAGGACAGGAAAAATGCCTACATTCATTCCTAAAATTCATCCAGAGTCCTTCCCTTTGCCAGATACCACCTACTCCAGTTCCTTATTTCTTGTTCTTACTTGAATTTAAACAAACATGCTCTGTCCATACACTGTCTTTGGCTGCTGTTGGGATAAATACCAATGCCTGAACTGACTGAGGAGTGCTGTCCTGCACACACAGGCACAGCCCTCTCCGTCCTCATGATGGCAGAGACATAAGGCAAGGGCAGTTATCATCAAAACACTACCAAGTCTCTCCCATTTTTTGCACCTTGATTTTGCTTTGGTGGAACCCCATTGTGCCATTTAATGAACTTTAAGCTAACAATTCTCTTTACCAGATAAGCATTAGAAATCTTGGCTTGGGGTTGATTTGTGAGTGAAAGGAGCAGGGCTGAAAACGGATCAGGTATTAACCTGACCCCTACTTGGCTGCCCACAAATAACTGAGACATGCCCCATCCCAGTCCTGGCATATCCACAGCTTAACCACCACCGACAAAAGTGCTTCCTCAGCTTTGTGGGCTCCTGTCAGACCACTGTGGAATGACATTACCAAAAGGAGACACAGGGAACCAGATGGGTGGTTAAGTCTCCACAGGCATTACAAACCAGGAGCAGGAGGCAGTAAAAGGATGAAGGATGAGGAATTTTTGTGTCTTACAAGGGGAAGACTGAAAACTGGGAGCCTTGTCACCTACTTCTGTCACCTGGCTGGAGGGGCTGTGTCCCTGTGACCAGAGGGTGGATGCACAATGGTGACTGCAGCAGGAAAAGGAGCTAAGGAGGCTGGAAAGAGGGCAGAGAAAAGCCAAGGAGCCGCAAGATCTGGTGACTTTGAGATCTGTGAGATGAGGAAGAGGGAAAGAGTGTAGCTCCAGACAAGAAAGATTTTCACTTCTCTGGTGACTCAGCAGACTCAGGACCTAAACTGGCCACAGAGCACCAACAGCCAGTCTAGCATGGGCAAAAGTGCCTGCCAGCTCTTACCCTGCTGGCATTGCTGCAGATCCTGCCGTGGTGGAGGTAACACACTGAAACTTGTCAGTTACCAGTGGCAAAAAATGGACTACACCCGCTGAGGAGCAACGGATCATGAGAGCTCAGAGTCAAATCCACCCAGACATGCCAGCCTAAGTTTTGTACCACGTTCTGAGCTTTAACGTGTTTTAAAATTTCTCCTGATTCTTCCTGATCGCTTTTCCTCGTGTTTCTTCTCTTCCAGCGCCAAATGGGCTATCCAGCCATGCATTAACCTTTGTGTCTGATTCCTGATCTGCTGTTAAAATCTATGTTAATTCCTTAGAATCCCATAATTTTTTCCCCAAGCCAATTCTGAGCAGTTCTGGGATTCCTGTACCCGCAGACACAGTAGGTAGCTAACATGCTGTGCTCTGCAACAGCTCAGGCTGCATGAATGGTCTAATTAACACCTCATCAAACTCAACTGTTGGTTGTGTCTGGAGAAATTCCCTCCTGCACCTGTGCATCCACCAGACACCATTTCTAGCCTCCTGCATAGCAGGCCCAGCCACTGCAGAGCCTGTCCTTACAGCATCAGCTCCAGGCTCCAGGACCTGCCGGCCCAGGGTGACACGGATGGCTGTGGCTGCTCTGAGCCATTGCTCCCTGCTCAGGGACAAAACCTCAGCACTGAAGGGTGTGCAAAGCCCAAGCTTCTGTGCTTCAAGCCCTCCTCCCCTCACTAAGTCCCACCTCCACTATGGGGACGTGCACAGCTGTCACCCAGCACAGCTCGGTGTCACCTGCCTAAGGACAGCCTCTGCAGTGGGCATCATGCACACCCTCCTATATGCTGCAAATTTTTGGGTGCCCAAATTGTCAATTATTGTAGCAGACCTCAGAGAAAGGTGGCACCTCAGGAGGGGTTCAGTCCCAGCCTCTTCTGGAGGATAGGCAAAAGGATTTAGTCAGAAGAGCCCTGGAGGTGTTCAGCAAATGCAAATGCAAATGCCCAACTCATGTTGACACTGCCATTATTTCAGGACAAAATTTAAGCACAAAAATAAGTTTAGTTTGATTGCTTGAGATAACAGCTAAAAAAAAAAGACTAAAACCTTTGGAACACAGAGCATGGAACAGGAAAATGTTATTCTAGTTAATACTTCACAGTGACACTTTTCTCTGGGTGTTTTGGGACCTCAGGTATCTCCAGAGGCTTTCCCTGGAGAATATCTAATGCCAGCTTCTACTGCTGGAGAACACTCCCTGGGCTTGTCTAAGGTCTCCTGTCCCATTTCAGCTCAGTTCCATTACTTCACCTAGCAAAACTCACTTCCTCACTTTGTGTAACACAGCAATGCTTGCCTGGCAGACAAATCCACCCATCCCATCCTCACATCACGGGTGTCATCTCACCCCTCCAGCCTTAGTTAACTCTTGATGCATCATCTTCCACTTGACATATCTCCTCCTACATGGTTGACTTCTGCTGTTCATCACAATTTTTTTAAAAGAAGAGAAAAACTACAAGTTTCACATCATCAGGACTATGAGCTGCACACACTTCATTCAGGAGCCTTCAACCTACTATGACCACCACACAGATCACTCATGGTGGTATAGCAAGGCAGGTGGCAGACTGCCTTTGAGAGAACCTTCCTAAATTCCCTCTCCTCTTCTCCTGCTTGCTGACTGTGTGTGGCTCGTTCAGGACCCTGAGAGGCACGTCCTGGCTGTGACAGCACCAGGCACATGCTGAGCAACATCCTGCAGACCAGTTCTGGATGCTGCTGCAGAAGACAGAGCTCTCAGTAGCACTAACCCACATATTGAAGAGACCTTGGGGAGCTACTGGGAATAAAGCTCACACTGTCAAAGAGCTCAGGCACTGGGGTTTGCATGTTTATCCTTTTGCAACTCCATGTCCCAATACTGCAAATGAGTGTTTAGCCCTTTGTCTTTGTGTAATCAGACTTGTCCCTCCTCTTTACACCCTGCCTGGTAACAATGGGGTCTTTATGTGGAAAGACCAACAGCTCTTTTTCCAGAGGACTCTTCAGGCTGTAACACCCTGCAGGCGTGTGCTGCTTGCTGTGAGCTGCAGACACCAGGATTTGGAGTGCAGGACACAAGGTTTCTCCATGGGAGAGACAAAGCTCTTTGAGCACCCATGGAACAGAGTCATCCTGGAAAGCAGGGAAAGTAACAGAGAAAAGAGCATATAGCTTGGAGAGCAGGCATGCTCATCAGAGAATTTCCACACCAGCTGGGGGGTTTGTGAAGAGCCCCACTACCCCATCATCAGGGCTGCAGCTCTCACATACCTTCCCTTTCATTTGAGATGGGGTGTCTGCCATTATCTCCACCAGACTGTGGAGATAATGTATCTCCACTACAGCCCTGCTCCCAGGGCTGCCGTCAGTCAAAGCACAGCCCAGCCACATTCAGCTGCTGGACCACCCTGGCCGTGCGACTTGGCTCTTCCGACCCCTCTTCCCTGGGACCCGGCTGCGGCGCACGAAGGGCAAACACAGCAGTAGGACTTCCCTTTCTCTAATAGCTTCTTGGCTCTCATCCCCATTGTTTTCCTTACTCAGCCTGCTCCTCCTGGCGCTAATAGATTTCCTGCTGATCAAGGCTACTACAGCATTTTGTAGCTCTCCGTGTGCCGCTCGGGCGCGGTACCGGGCACGGGGCTCCGTGGGCGCTGCTCTGGCCTGGCACAGCCAAGGTGTGGGCACAGGGCTGTTCCCCCTCTCTCGTCAGCGGGAGGGATGTGGCGTGGCAGCTGGTTCGACCAGCTTTATGGTCTCTTTGTGCTGCTGCAGCAGAGCTGAGAATCTGGCCCTGGCTCCCTCCCCGCCTCGCTGGGGACTGCATCAGTGTGCTGTTTATTGTTTCTGCCAGATCATTCCTGCAGATGTTAATGAATGCTAGACCCAGCTTTGCTCCCAGCAGAGTCCCTTCCACACCTCCCCCTGCCCAGCCTTCTGCACTGGAGTTTCTGTTTACAGTCCTGCAGGGAATTTCCCTTCTGCTGCATGGTCTTCGAGCTGCACAGACCCAACTCCTGCTGCCAGCAGGCTCCCACACCTCCCTGATTCCTGTAGCTGTCCAATGTCACCTCCAAGTGTCTGAGTCCCTCTCTGCCACCATTCCTTCTCTACTTCTGACTTTCCCAAACTAGAGACATACCAATCCCCCAGGAGGGAGTAGAGAGCTTGGCCAGTGAAGAAAGTTGCAACAGGTTCTTCCTCTGCACAGATGGAGAAAGTGCAGGGAGAAGAAATCACCAAATGGGAAGAGCAAAGCAATTGTCCAGGAGGACTCAGAAATAATAATGTGCACATTGGTAAGTGCTGCCAGGACCCACATCCTCAACCTGCAGCTCTTGGGCTTGCATCAGCCAGCATCCACACCACTGCACTATCTTAGCATCCCAACAAGGTGGGCACCTCAGTCTGCCTATAATTGGGAAATGCTGGAAATGCTTGGGAGAGTGTAAATCAGTCCATCCCAAGATCCCACCAGGCATCTCTGCAGAACTTTAGCTGTACACGTGACTGTGCTCCAAGGCCTCTGGTACTGACTGTGTTCCAAAGCCTCTGGTACTGTGGTGGCTCAGCCACATAGAGCCTCACTGTCCTGGAGGCTGTTGGACATTGGGAAGCCAAGGAGCAACCCTTCCTGCTGCCAAGGACACTGGTCTCAGGAGGGGTTTCTGAGCCCCTTTTGGTCAACCCAACAGCACTTACCCTTCCAGGAAAGCAACAACGTTCTTCCTGGGCCTTCCAATGTTGGGCCCATAGAGGTGTGCTCTGGAATAGGTGCGGATGAGCTGCAGCAGGCTTCTCAGCTGGGTGTAGTCCCTGCCCAGCTGGCTGCCATTCACTGAGCGGCCCATCAGGGTCCGATAGTTATTGGGCTCTGAGAAAACACAAATTGACAAGCAAAACTTGTCAGCTCTGCCTCCTCCTCTGCGCTTCCAGAGAGACACACAGCTAACCCTGTCACACAGCTTGAGCGCCACAGAGGATGCAGGCAGCTCTGCAGAGCAATAGAAGGAGCCTTTGAGGAGTGGACAACAGCCACTGCCTGCTCTCCTGTGCTCCTTTTGCTATGTGCTGGGTGGAGGAGCTGTACCTTGGTGTCATGCTCCTGTCCCCATAGGGTTGCCCACTTCCCCTGGCACTGTAGCCACCCTACAAGTCCCTGCAGTAGATGACCTGGCCCCCCAGGACCAGCTGGGCCCTGCAGCCAGGACAGAAACATTTCATGCGCTTAATACCAGCTGAGAGAAAGTCCAGTTAAGAGATCACTCACACAAAGTCTTAGAGGTGGTGCTGCCTTACAACAGGAGCCTTTAACTCCCTCTGAAAATACGCTGGTAAAGCATCCTGGGAGCTACAAGTATCCTCTTCCAAAACTGAACATCTTTCTGCTAAAGAAAGCTCACTTCCCCTGGCTCTCCTGTTCCCACACTCACCATTGCCCAGCTCCCAGGAGATGTTGTACTTCTTGCTGGCACTGTACTTCAGCAGGCTGAGGGCATTGGAGCTGTTCCAGGAGTTGTTGGGATTTCGGCGCAAAGCATTCAGTGCAAAGATCAGGTGAAGGCCAGAGCAGTCAGCAAAGTTATAGAGTTTGTCTAGAGACCTGGCTGGGAAGAAACAAAAAACAGTTTGTAATTCAAAGGAAAGCTAGTTCCAGGGCGGTTCAAATGATCCTGCTGTCCATCATACCTTGCCTTCTATGTAGGATGAGCCAGGGTCAAATGCCATCCCCACGACATCTGTAACCACAGAAAGGCACCTGACCTTTGAAACCCAGATAGGATTCCTGTTGTGGGTTCATCTCCTTCCAGCAGGAAACTTGGATGCCCTCCACCTCTGTGTCAGAGCTGGGGCCATGTTACCAGAGACAAGTGGCTTTATAGCATCGCTTTTCATCTGCTCTTGGCAAGGAAAGTTTGTCCTTTCCTGCGCTTACTCTGCCTTGCATCTCTTTCAGAGCAGATCCCTGCAATGTCTGGGGAGACAACGAGGAAGTCACCATCCTAAAGCTGCCATCTCTCCTGCACCCCACAGCAGCCTGGTCTTTGCTGCCTAGGCTCCCTGCCTAGTGACAGCCTGGCCAAACCCTGCTGCCAGAAAGAACTGACCCACTATTTAGGGAGGTGCAACATTATCACAGGGCAGAGAGAAAAAACACTTAATGACCTTTTTCTTTATGAAAACTTCCCTAAAAACTCAACAGCAATCAAATTGCTGATGAAGCTAATGCCAGTGTTAGCAGAACACAAACTCACGTGACAGTGAGATTTGGTTAGAGAGCGATTAGATAACTGCGGTGTTTTCAATCATCCCTGCCTGTTGAACTGCATCCCAGGACAATCAGCAAGCTTCCTGAAGCAGCCTTGGAGATGCAACCACTTAACTGTGAAGAGCCACCAGGGATAGGGAGGTTCCAGGGGGCCAGGGAGGGCAGACCATAGCTCCCCTTTCAGAAGAGGGGAAGGAGGCGCTTGGGAATTACGGAGTAGGCAGGCTGGCTTCAGGTCCCAGAAAAACACTTGGACAAATAACCAAGTTGCTTGTCAGCACTTAAAAAATATAAGGAGATGATCAACAACCACAGGAGTGTGCCAAGAACAAATCACACTGAAGCAATCTACTGATAGGAGAGCAGGACTGGCGGGCAGCAAATCAGCCATTTAGGCCTTACACCTTGATGGGTCTGAGGCTTTGTTCACAAAGGATTGCACATGGAATTCTCTCCAGAAACTGAGGGAGCCCTTATCCAAGCTGGACTGCAGTGAGAAATACTCACACCTAGGTCAGCTTCCAGTAATTTGTTGTTGCAGTGAAGGGTGTAGGCAGCCTGCTCTGGGTCAATTTGCACATTTCCAAAAAAAGTGGGGCATAAAGGAGCAGAGGATACATCAGTCTCGCCATGCACCATGGTGATAGCATCCACCACCTTTGCCAAGGGAGATGAAGGGGATACAGGGAAGGCCAGCACACACTCAGGGAATTGCTCTAAGACCAGCAGTGATGTCCCAAGATTTCCTGTAGCCATGCTGCCCACCTGATGTGCAAGTGGAAGAGTAATAAGAGGGAGCTGCTTGCTCCAGGTGGAATAAGCTGTTCTCTGTAGGTCTGTGTTTATTCTGTTGCCTTTCCTGGTCACTGAAAGTCTCAGTGAATGCAGACCCAGCTCTGAGAAGAATAAACTTATCTTTTAAAGTTAAGTTTTAAGGAGGGTCCAGGAAATAAGCTAACTGAATAGCTAACATTTAATGCAACACAGGAAAGTTATGGAAAGAAGAAGAAGAATGCAAAAATGTGGAAGAGAAAATCTCACTCCCTTCCACAACCTTTTTCAAAATGCTACTGGTTGTCTGAGTGAAAAGTAGCTGAATTAGATTAATCTAATGTATTCATCCCAGTGGTTCAGGCACATGAGATGTTTTTCTGGATGTTTAGTGAATTAGAGACAGATACAGTTACTTATTACTGATTTACTTCAGACCCCCAGGCAAAAAGCTGCATTTGAAATGAGATTCCTATAAGGAGGAGAAGATAGACATAACAGGATAGCAAAAAAGGTGTTACCTGCAGTTCTCCTGCTGGAAATGAAACCTTTTCACTGGCACAAAACAACTGTACTACAAAAGCAAATTTGATTCACGTTTAGGAGACACTGCAGAAGACTGGGAATTGATTTTCCATGCATCCATGAGAGGAAACAAGACGTCTGTTTATCCCAACACAGGGCCTGCCACTGTGAAATTATATTTTCCCCATGACACTTATTTTGTTTCCGTGCGCCTGGACGCAGAGATGCCACGTGTATTTCGTGTTCTGCCACGACTTTCCAAGCTGGAAACCTCAGCAATCAGGGGAGTGACCTAGGAGAAACACACAGATGTCTGGGGTTCGGTCCTGCACGTTTCCAGTGCTCTCCCAGGACAGATAGACCTATAACCTGCACTGAAGCTACAAAGAGCAGAAAAGTACTAAAAAACCCATCTCTGCATCACACCAGATTGTTAAAATGGCCACTCTTGATATCAAGACTAGCAGGTACTGAATCCACTTCCCTCCTTCATTCTTGGCAACTGTCTTGGGATAGTGCAAACTTGGAAGCACCAGTGCAGTGACCCTGGCAGAGTTTTGATGATCAGTTTGCACAAGCTTGCTAACCATTAGTGGTTAAAGGGATGTCTCTCACCTCTGAGATGATTGCCTTAAAAACTGGACACTTTCATTGCAGACAGCTGCAGTTAGATGACAATACTGTCATGCAGTGAATGACAGCAGTGTGCTTAAGTGGCCGAGGAGGCCAGGGGCATCCTGGCTTGTATCAGCAGTAAGTGTGGCCAGCAGGACCAGGGCAGTGACTGTCCCCCTGCACTCAGCACTGGTGAGTGCTGTGCTCACTTTTGGGCCCCTCCCCATAAGAAAGATGTTGAGATGCTAGAGCACGTCCAGAGCAAGACAAAGAAGATGGTGAAAGGTCTGGAGCACAACTCTTGTAAGGAGCATATGAAGGAGGTGGGGGTATCCAGCCTGGAGGAAAGGAGGCACAGGGGAGACCTTATCACTACACGAACTACCTGAGAGGAGCTTGTAGCAGGTGGGAGTTGGCTTCTTCTCCCAAGCAACAAGGGACAGGACAAGAGGAAAGAGCCTCAAGTTGTGCCAGGGGACATTTGGATTGGACACAAGAAAAAATTTCTTCACTGAAAGCATTATCAAGCATGGGAACAGCCTGTCCAGGGAAGTGGTTGAATCACTGCCCCTGGAGATATTAAAAGATGTGTAGGTATGGCACTTAGGGACATAGCTTAGTGATGGAGTTGGCAGCATTAGGAGAATGGCTGGACTGAATGATCTTAGAGGTCTTTTTCAAACCAAATTATTCTATGGATGGCTAAAGCACAAAAAGAAGCCTATTTAGAAGACTTTGAGTGATGTCCAGTCCTCCATATGTACAAATAAGGCCATAAGAAAATGCTATAAATATTTTACTGCCATGACTAGGGACGGCAGCATTACTTTTGAGTAATGAGAACATGAGGAATCACAGTATTATTAACAGCTGGCTAAAACTCACTTTGAATTCTGGATAATTGCACTGTTTTTTCTTCATCAAACAAAGAAAATCATACAGGAATTTAACCTTTCCCCAGCTAACAGATCATTAGGCAAGGCTTTCACAAAGCACTTCAATAGAAAAAGCCATTGTCGTAGCAGAATGAATCTTAATAGAGCAGAACTAGATTTATAAGATGTTCTCCTTTCTCCTTCTCCCCCTCTGCCCAGTGCAGAGATGCACATGCTCAGCACTCATGTGCTACTTCAGCTCAGCAAGAAGGAATAACAAAAAAAAAAGAAAAAGAAACATGCAAGGATGCTGAGAGTCATATTCTTCCCTTTATAACGCTCATGTAGCTGGAGTGAGGCTGCTTGAGGCAGCAAAGCGCCAAGTTCCATCCCCTCACACCCAGCAGCAAGCAGTGCTGGGGGGGGGTCTCACTGGGGTGGGTGCCTTGGTGGGTTTGGGACAAACAGCAGCCAATAGTCACAGACAGAGGCCACTTAGGCCTGGCACAAAAATTAAATCACAAGATATTTGTGATTTCTCAAACTTTTACATCATTGGTTGCAGAGGCTTCAACTCATCTAGGGAGTGAATACAGCCTGACAATGCGTGGCTGGGTGGCCACCTGTGAAGATCTGCTCCCAGTCCTGCCCTCAGATGAAGCTCTGCACAGAAATTGAAGGTTTTAACTGCTTGTATTGATCTCAAACCCTGCACAGAGAGAGACAAACAATTTCAAAATGCAGAAGGTGTCTGTGAAACCACAAATGATGGTGGGGTTCAAGGGACAAGTACATCCTTTGGGATTCTTTCCCATTATTCTTCTTTTTATACAAGGCTAAATTTTAATGTTCTCTGAAAGATGGATGGCACTTAACTCTGTAGCATGCCAACACAAAATCTGAGGCACATTAAAATATCTCTGGCAGTTTAAAATAATTGGAAAGACTTTCTAGTTGTAGTTACTGAATTAAACATTATACTAGAGCCTTTATGAGGAGCACAGTATTGACCACTGTTTGGAAAGGGGGACAGTTCAAGAATCTCTGGGTTTGAAAGCCTTCCACATTTTTTATTCTGCTTCAGGAATTTTGCTTTGGCAGAGTTTAGCATGAAGAGTGGAAATTCATGTGCTGAGACGGAAGCTGGGATCAGTCAGTGGGCTGAGGGGTGGCAGGACATGGCACCCACAGTGTGCCAGGGGCTTTTGTGACTCTGGGAAGGCAACCAGAAGGATGGGAAAGAAGAGCCTGTTCCCCCTCTATCCCCACCATTCACCACATTGATCTCTTGCATGTACAGAGTATACAAGCACCAAGGAGGGTGAGACGAGAGCTGAGCATGGGGGGGGGCAGCTCACAGCACAATTCCCAAAGCCACAGCTTAGCTGAGAGACCAATCCAGTGCACAACAGATGAACCCTTCTGGGGATAGAGCAAAGAAAAGTAGCTCTAGAAATAATGATTTCAACTAGTCACAGATATTGCTCAACTCTTCCTTCTCCATAAACTCTGGGCAAGCCTGGAGCATCCCTGCACACAGCTCCTGTGCCAG